TTTAAGTTAAGGAAGATCTATATATTGTTAATTGTCTGTGTAATCTCTATGTTTTTATTGTCATTGTCAAAAATTATTTCATTGTTTGCTTTTCCTTTTACATGGCACAGCACTCTTAATTTTATGTTTTTATTATTTTCTCAAATTTCTGAGCATATTAAAGTTCTGCCTTATCCCTTTGTTTTATTTAAATCCTCTTATTATTTATCTCTGTTTCTTTTACTGAAGCTAGTTTTTCCCTTTGTTCAGCTTGGCCTTTTTCTTCCATATTCTAGGTCTTTTATGTGACTTGGTCATATACAGGTGTCTATCAATGTTTATAAATCAAAGAACAAGCTGATCATTCTAAAGAGTTGTTAAGGATTTTGTCTTCTATTGTTTGAATCTATCTGTTTCTTAATTAGTCTTTCTTCTGGGAGGAAGAAATCTGGCTGAGAGATCTGTTTCTGGACTGAATGTTCTCTGCTCTAGGGTGTGTGGAGAGGAGCTTCCCAATAGGCTAAGGGCCACCAAATCTCAGAAAGAGGAGGGTTTCACCAAAAGAGGCTCCTTCCCACACTAGTAGCCTTGACTCACACAGTTTCTTAATTTCCTTAGAAGTCCTTCACATGTTTTTGTCTGTAGGGGCAAACTTCCCTGGAAGGCCTGACATTTTGTACCCAAAGGTGGGGAAGTGGGGAGAAGTTGCTTCTGCCCCAAATAAACTTTAAACAATCTCCTTGTCTTCCTCCTAACTGCCAACCCCACATTCCAACCTGCCATCTCTGAGCCCAGGCCCCTGTAGTTCTGACAGGCTTCGTCCAATCTTTACCTCCCCTCCCCCTGCCACCACACACACACACACACACACACATCCTGGTCTCCCTGCAGCCTCCCTGGGCTTCCTCTGGACTGGGCATCTCTCTATTTCCTCCCCCAACCTACCCCACACCTCATCATCTTGCTGGAACTCTTGAAATCTCACACATGCTGAAGGACCCCCTTAGAACCTCTTCACTTTGTGAGCTTATTTCTTTTATTATTCCTTTAATGTAATTGTAATGGGCTATCAAAAGAGTACAAAATATGCTGTCTATTGTCTTGAGCCATACACTTAAAGGAACTTATAATAAGATAAATAGATTTACAGTCACCTGTGTCCCTGTGGCCTTAGTATGACTATTCTCATCTGTGAGTGGGCAGAGTTATATCTATGTCTCTCTGTGTATTACACGATATTTTGACTTTTTTCTTTAGTGCTATGAAGTTTCCGTCTTTACCATCTTGATAAATGTGTGAACCTCCAAAAAGAACCTATATCAACCTCTTCAGAGCACATCAGATGTAGGTGTCATTAACCCCATTTTGATACGAGAAAATTTGGAGGCAAAGTCACTTAGCAAAGTTGCAAGTGCTGAGTCAGGAATGAGAAGCCATGTCTGCCTCATTCCAAATCCTGTTCTTTCTTTGCTCATGAGATTGTTCTGGGGATTAAATGAGATAAAATGTGTGGAGCTCATAGCATAAGTTTGGTAAATGTAATTGCCATTCTGGTTCCCCCTTCTTAGTCACAGCTACATACCCCAAATCCCTCCCTTCTCTTGGCCAAAGAGAATAAAAGCCTTCAAACCTCCTCATTTATGGTTTCTTCTCAGAAAGATCTCTGTGCCGCTGGGAAAGGGGAGAGGCTCCTGGAGTCTGCTGTCACTGATCTCTCTGTGCTTCTCTGGACCCCACCCTCGCCATTCCCACCCCATGCTCCTCATTACTCACAGCTTGTGGCAGCCTTAACCAACCAAACCCCTGCTTCCACTCTCCTCTCCTCTTAAAATATGCAGAGCCACACTTTGGTTTTCTTAAAAGCTTCCAACTTGCCAATCAGTTAAGTTAAGCCAAGTTTCTGTGCTAATGAAAAAGAACCAGTAAGGGGGCCAAGGAGAAAATATTTGCAATGCATATGAAAAGGTGTTGTTGTCTTTTGTGTATAAAGAGCTGAAATAAATCAATAAGAAAAACATTAACCACCCTTCTGAATGAGAAACAACATGAACAAAATATTCACCCAAAAGAACATGCAATTTCTAAATAAGCATGTGACAGTATTTTCAATCCCACTAGTAATCAAGAAAATGCAAAGTCAAATAATTACATATTTCTCATCTACAGAATTATCAATATTTAAAATCTAATGCTTGATTCTGGCAAGAGGCTCTGAGATGAACACTCAGCCACAACTCATGAATGTATCAAAAGCTTGAAACATAGTCTTGTAACCTTTGATCCAGTTGTTCCATTACTGGGATACAAGCTAAGGAAAAAATATGAAAGGCAGGGGCGGGGTGGCTGGGTGGCTCAGTAGGTTAAGCGTCTGCCTTCCGCTCAGGTCATGATCCCAGGGTGTTGGGATGAAGCCCTATGTCAGTCAGGGAGTCTGCTTCTCCCTCTCCTTTGCTCGTGCTCTCTCTCGCTACCTCTGTCTCTCTCTCAAATAAATAAATAAAACCTTTGGGGGAAAAAATATGAAAGGCAGATATTTAAGTTCATATGGTTTATCACAGCAAATAAAAGGAAGCAACTTAGTAATTAAAACAAATTAAAGAGCTTTGTACTTTTATATGGGAAAATGGTCATGGTATAATGTTTGGTAGTGAAAACTCAGCACTTAAAATCACATAATCAGTAACATCTCAGTAGTATAAAGCAAATGTCCACAAATGTGTAGGAGACTAGAAGTAAATATACCCGAATGTGCTAGATATTATGAGCAGTTGTTAAGAGTTTGAGCTTTTTTTTTTTAATCTCTCCGTTACTTTTTTTTTTTTTTTTAACACAAAGAACATCTATCACTTTGACACAGGGCCAAACTTTTAATTAGAAATTTTAAAGGACCCAAATAAAATCTGCCTGCCTCTATCTGTAAGAGCTCACAGAGAGAGACTGCAGTAGGGCCCCTCCAAGAAGGAACCAGCAATGAATGGGTGTTCGTTTGGGTGGGGATAAAGTGGGCGGGGATTCCCCTCCCATGGGCAAATCTTGCTCTATATAGTTCTGGGAAGTAAGCAAAAATTCCCCACTGGGACTCCATCACACACTCTCACTCAGGAGGAGCTCAGCAGCTTATCCCAGCCACATCCTGCACATATTACTGAGGCTGCCAGAACTGAGTCCCAGTCCTGGTTGCACTACCTCAGACAAATTCTTATCACTGCTCCCAACCTCCATTTTCTCACTTTTAAAATGGGCCCTTGGCAATATCCTCTTTGATGGTATTTATGAGAATTAAATGAGATAGCAGTTTTATTGTTATAAGATATAGCTGAGTTTTTGCTACTCCATTAATAAATATCCAGCACAGAAAGACACACTGCATTTCTGTGACTTAACATCAGACCCTTACCATATAATCTAATTTTTCATATAATTATCCTGCCTTCTTAAAATATTCCTCATTTCTTTAAAATTAGACACTTCCATGGTTAAATCTTTTAAAATATATGAAACATGTCCCTGCTAGCTAAACAACAACTCACCATTAAACACTATTTATCTTCTTTTCAGAATGGCCTGGGGTCCTTACTCTAAGTGTGTCCAGAGGGGGAAGGGGACCAATCTCTTCAATAACTTAAACTTAATATCTTTAACTTATTTGCTGAGAAAGACATTGTATTGTCACATTATTTCTAAGATATTAGTCACGGCAACCTAACTTTGAAGATTGTTCCAGTTTCACAGATGAGAAAATTGAGGCTCAGAGAGGTTAAATAAAATGCCGATCGTCAGCCCCATGGAAGGCAGTGAAGATTCAAACCCAGTTGGAGTTCCAAAGCCCTGGTTCCTTGCCAGCCCATGGTGTAGTCACATCCTCCACCCACGGCTGGATCCAAGAAGCTTTAGTTGTAAAATAAATGCTGCTTTGTTTTTGTATCTGACCTTACAGTTTGTGGAGCTTTCTACCTTTCTTTAGTTAGTTGTTTGGCTTCCTCCTTGAAAGGAATTCTTGTTACATTCTGGTGTTTTTAACCCATCCTACCTTGGCAAATGACATAAGCAAACGTCTTATGATTATGTCTAAAGGCCAGTTGGCTGTCAATGATCCTTCAGAAGTCTTCCCGTAAGTGAGGTGCAATGATCTGGGGACTTGTTCTTTGGCTACCTATAGGCTCTTTTAGCTTCCTTGCAGCTCCCCAGCTGCATTTCAGATAACTGAAGTTGTTTAATTTATGAACTCTGAATACGGGGGATAGTATTAGCCAACATGGATCTATATGTATTACAAAACAAAATGTCGAACTGTTGCTAGTTTCTAGTAAATGCCTGTTCTGTCCCACTGTTATTTTACAGACATTGCTTCTGTAAAACTGTGGAATGCAAGTGTTCTTGTCCGCATTTTCTAAGTGAAGAAATGGAGACTCAAAAGTTTCCACACGTGGCCAAAAGCGTTCTGTGAATAGTTCCCTTCACATCGACATGTATATGTCCAGCATGGGAGTTTCACTAAAGATTGATAAGCAGTGTGAGTTTCTTCATTAACTAAAGAGAATTATGAACACTTGCCCACTGTGTCAAACAGGCAGTCCTAATAATAATAATGCCTGGAGCTGGTCCAGCCCACACTGAATTGGGAAAGGTGTCTGCACTGCACACCTCCAGGGGGCAGCCTTACATTGTGTTCAACCTGGATGGAATTCCCAAGGGCAAACACATTGTGCAGACATCTGGAATGGGGCCCCGGGACTGCAGCAGAGAAACCTTAATGGGAGAAGCCGGGAGGGTGTCGCAGCAGTTCGCCCTAGGACTGTCAAGTAGACAACAATGAAAAGCCCCACTGGAAGGGCCAGCCATCAGACATGAGAAGTGCAGGTTGTCTCTTGGGTCTGAGATTTAAAACAAGGGTGACATGGTCTCAAGTTCCCTGCCCTTCTCTCTGGTGGGGAGAGGGGAGAGATAAAATGCAACCTATAACATAGCATTCTTTCTGGGTGATGTAGGTAGACTCTATTTAACTAACCAGAGCGTCAAAATCCGCTTCAAGTTTTTAATTGCCTAAGTGAAGCTTTTACAAACTCTACAATGTCTGGAAGCCTCAGGCAGAAGTGATCCAAATAAATCACATGGCCTTTGTCCAAGCAATCCCTGTTTCTAAGAATCTTTTCCGAACATTAGCCCACGACAGAGGCCTTGAGGGGCCAGTCATGCAGGGACTTCCCAGGCCACCAATGCCCCTCAGCTCTGAAAGGCCACCCTGCTATGGAGTGGCAGAGCAGCCAGCCAAGATTCAAACGCAGGTCTGTCCCTGTTTGGTCCCCGGCCCTGACAGTGCTGGGCCAGGCCATCATGTTCCATCTGGGAGTTTTTCAGTCCACACGCAGGGGAATTCTCCACCACAACCTCTGAGTCTGGTAACTGCAGATGGAAACAGAAACGTAGTTAGAAAAATGTGATTCTTGCGCAGGAAAGTTGGACCAGAGAAGAGTTCAGATGTGGGCGGGTGTGTGTGTTTAAAAAAAAAAAAAAGAAAGAAAGAAAGAAAGAAAAAAGAGAAGGGTGGGAACCCCACCAGCCAAGTCTGCAGAAAAAAAAATAAATGAAGTCTGCCTATCTCGGGCCGGAGCCCCTCCCCTCGGCCCGCGCCGGAGGAGCGTGACACAGGTGCCGCTTCCTCCCCGCTGCTGAGGGTCAGCAGCAGGCCGGCGCGACCCTCGCCACCGCTCCGCTGCCCCCTCGGCCCCCGGTCCGGCCGGCGCCCCGCACCCATCGGCGATGAACAGCGTCAACGGCACGTCGCGGCCCCGCCTCGGTGAGTACCCGCCGCCCGCAGCAGTCCACCGCCCGCGGGGTTCCCGGGACCCTGTGCCTGCCGGGCCCACGGGAGCCAGGAGCTCGGGCTCAGCGGCGGGACCTCAGCCCGAGCCCCGCGGCGTCGCCGGGTGGCGCCCGGAGCGCCCGAGCCCGGCCCGGCTCTGCACCCCGGGGCCTGGAGGGGCCGCCCGGCCACCGCCGCCCCGCGCGCCGCCCGTTCTCTACGTCTTTGTGCGGTGGCCGCCGAGTATCTGCCGCAGAAACTGGCCCTAGACTAGTAAGTGAGGGACTTACTAGGAGGGAGAGGACGTCGCGCGCTGTTTGCTCGGCCGCCCAGGGCTCGGGGACGGGTTCGGAGTAAACTTCAGTAAACTCCGCCGTTGCCCGGACTCGCTGTCCCGGCCGCGGGGAGGGACACACATGGCGGAGGCATAGGCTCGCCTTGACCCTTTGGGGCGTTGTAATTCCTCTTTCTTTCTAAGACGGCACATGCTTTCCTGCTGACGGGAAATCGTATACCCTGAGCTTCTTTGTGAGGATGTTGGGAAACTTTGCCGGGCCTCCCCCGGCCCCTCCTCTGCCAGTGGGCTTTTGCAATAAAAAAAAAAAAAAAAAAAAAAAAAAAAAAAACCACTAAAATTTCCTTTTTAAAACTTTCCATAAAAAGTAATGTTTATCCCTTCTATCTCCACCCTGGCTAGATCTGGTCATTGGAAACTGTCAGACGGGAGACATTCTGAGTCTATAGTGTATCGTGTTAAGTAATTAATATGATAATAATATGGGTACTGGAGACATCCACTCGTTTACAGGTCTTTAAAATCCAGGTGGTTGTGTGGCCTCACCAGAGGAACTTAAGCATAGTGGACTGTGGCTAGGTGCCTGTGTGTGCCTAGTCACGCGTGTGCCCAGGAGGGTGCTCAGCTAGTCTGCGTGCAGGAGGACGAGTCCTGGAGTGAGGGCCCTGCTGCCTGCTGTGGGATCAGCAGTGCCACCTATTAGCCGGGGGCCTGCGGCAAGCTAGCCTCTCTCTTAGCTCCAGCTTCATCCGCTGCAAAATGGGAGTGATAGGGTATTTCTCTTTGGGCTGTGAGAATTAAGAGCTTGTAAATGGCTCAGCACAGAGATTAACACATACTAAGGGCTCGATAAATGTCAGGCATCTTTGTTTTCATTTTACACTAGACTGGGTCTGGAAGCTCATGTGCATTAGTGCTTGCATGTAAGTTTCTGTGAGTGTGTGAGTCAGACACTAGTGAACTTAGATGTGTGTGTCGGGCCAGGGTTGAAGGGAAAGCCACGGTAATCATTCCAGTACAGGCGCTGGGGAAGTGCAGGCCTGCTGCCATTCCCCTGGCTGGAAAGGACAGGCTTGCTCACCAGGAGCCCTGCCCCTGCCCCCACTCTCAGGCAGTTCTCTAAGATTCAAGTTTCAGACCTTGACCAATGGCTGCAGACACTTCCCTTCCAGAGCTCACAGGAATACAGCCCTCACTTGCATACCATTCTAGATTACCCTTAGGACTTGATTTATTGCAGGCTCTTTGCTGTAAGAGAACCCTGGGGCCCTCTTTCTTGCTGTGAACTCATGCAGGATGTGTCTATATCCTGTCTCAGTTTACATCACTGCTTCTCAGAAGCAGAGGTTGGAATGGAGAGGACCCTCTGCTCCTGCCCCACCAGGCCTGCCCCACCCCTCTGGCCTCAAACCAACTCCCATAAGCCCAAATGCCACAGGTACTACAAATGAGTCATGTGCAGAAATCCACTGCCTTGCCCTTGGATGGAAGGGGTCAATGCTCAGTGAGGAGACGGTCAGGTTTGTCAACTTTATATAGATTTCACTGCCTCTGGCAGAAGCCGAAAGGATTGCATTAAGTGCCAAATGAAATTCCATCTCAACCATTGCTCAACCCCTCCAGATATCCAAAGCAGTAGGAGTCACATGGCATTGGCACCGTCAGCAGCTGGACCTTTCCAAGGGTGCCCATGGTTGGACAACTATTTCTGGGGACTCGCAGCGCACCCTGGGAAACAGGGGGGTATGGGATAAGAGGCATTCTGTGTTTGCAGTGGAAGCGCATCAGCCCATCTACAGTGAGAAGGAAGAGGCAGCTGGGGGAGGTTGGCAAGCCAAATCAGTTTCCCTCCTTGGATGGCAGATATACATACATATATCAAATGGCCTTCTGCAGTCCCAACCAAAACGCCTTCCAGAGACTGTGTGAACAAAATGGGCCCAACAAGCACAAGCTAAACACAAATTTGAACAATGAATCAAGAGTTAATAATAGGAAAGAGAAAGATGCCATCCCACCTCGAGAGCAATTTATTGATTTATGAGAAGCCTACTACAAATATCATATGTATATATAATTATTTTTGTTTTACAAGATGAAACTTATTTTATATATTCTACTTCATCTTGCTTTTTTCATAAGAATATATGCTGAAGATTATAATTAATCATCATATATAGACTAACCCATTCTTCTCAGGGCTATATGCATAGTATGAATTGTATGAATATATAAATGAATTGGTTATTTTATTTAACCAGTTCCTTCACCAATGGACATTTAGATTGTGGGCAGTCTTTATTTGATTTTTTTAAAACTAGACATGGTGCTGCCATTACAACCCATTAAGTAGGGTTTATGTGATTACACATATATGTGTGACTATATGAGTTCGCATATGATTAGGATAAATACACACACATTTAATTTCTGGCACAAAGAGTGTGAACATTTAAAATGTTGGTAGGTACTAAAAAATTGCCCTCTGAGGGGCGCCTGGGTGGCTCAGTTGGTTAAGCGACTGCCTTCAGCTCAGGTCATGATCCTGGAGTCCCTGGATCGAGTCCCACATCGGGCTCCCTGCTCGGCAGGGAGTCTGCTTCTCCCTCTCCCACTCCCCGTTTGTGTTCCCTCTCTCGCTGTGTCTTTCTCTGTCAAATAAATAAATAAATCTTAAAAAAAAAAAAATTGCCCTCTGAAAGGTCACATGAATATCTAACACCCACCACTAGCTAATGAAAGTCGTTCTTTCCTCACACCCTCATTCATACTGGGCAGTTTACATCTTAGCAAATCTGATAAGTAAAACATGTTGTCACTTCTGAATGTGCCTCTGTAATTATAAGTGAGGTTGTGCATGGTTTTGTTTGTTTGTTTTCTAAAGATTTTATTTATCTATTTATTTGAGAGAGAGAGAGCATGAGCAGGGGGAGGAATAGAGGGAGAGGGACAAGCAGACTCCACTCTGAGCCCGACATGGGGCTCAATCTCATGACCCTGAGATCATGATCTGAGCCAAATCAAGAGTCGGACACTTAACTGACTGAGCCACCCAGTGCCCCCCCCTTTTTAAAGATTTTATTTATTTATTTATTTATTTATTTATTTATTTATTTGAGAGAAAGAGGAGGTTGTGCATGTTTTCATACCTCCACAACATATTGTATTCCTTTTTCTGAGAAGTACCTGTTCATGGCCTTTGCCCATTTCCTATGAGGTCCCCCACGCCCAGGGAAGGAGTTTATGAAGTGTCCTCTCTCTTATAGTGACTTGGAGGCAGAGCAGGGCTTGAGCCCCGCAGTCGGAGCTGTGGAGCCAGACCTGGGTTTGGTCCCACCATCAACACTTGCAGGCTTTGAGGAGGTACACAATATGTCAGAGCCTCACTTTTCTCATCTGAAAGTGGGAATAATAACAGCTACTTCCCAGGAGTCATGTGATGAGCAAGAGAATAAGGGCTTGGCATCATGCCCAGGAATAGTGGTATCTGTGACTGTTGTTGTTAACAGAATTTATCAAAGCAAGCCTGGCCTGTGGGTGCTCCTAATCTCTCGAGTCTCCCTTACAGACAGCTGCTGTTTTTGCTTTTGATACTATAACAAGAATATCCATACCTATATGCCGAGCCCTTTAGTAGGGCCTTGCATGGGTCACCTCTCCACAGCCTGGGCCCATGGGCATTTTCTTAACTGTTTTGCAGAGGAAACACTGGAGGCTCAGGGGATGGCTTACCCCAGGGCTCCCAGGCACTGAGGGCACAGGGCTGTGGACATAGGCTGTCAGACTCCAGAGCCAGCAGAGGCCAGCTGAGGGGTGCTTAGGGTGCATGTGGACAGGGCATTCTGCCACCCAGCACCATGCAGGCTGTGCCTGGGAAATTACACTGTAGCTTTGTACAGAGAGAACCTGTGTGTGGCACAGATCTTCAGAACCTACCAGCCACCCTATGGTTCCTCAGCCAGGCCTCAGTTCCGACCTCAGTGTACCACTGCCCACTGTTTTGTGTTTGGGCCTGACCCACACCAGGCCAGCCGCTGCCCTTCATCATGCATTCCACAGCCTGCTAGGGCTGTCCCCTAGAACCTTCTCTTATGGCCTTTCCTGATGCCCAGGACTGCTCTGTGTCTCCAGCTGCACCTCCAGTGCTGTCTGGGTACTCCTGCACACACATATGCATGCACACGTACACACTCACGTTCACACTCACATACACACACTGCCTGCCTGCCTCACCCCTGCTCATCCCTAAGGCCTGGGTCATTCCCCTGAAGCTCCCTAGGCCCTCCCTGAACACTAGAAAACCAGCCACCGTGGCCCTGAGGACACGGCGGCCCCAACAGATTCCTGGATTTGTCCCTTTCCTGGAAATCCTGACCTCCCAAGGGACTCCATAACCCCGCCTGCCCCCTCCTTGGGGTCTGGCACAGAGAAGTGAATGCTCCCAGGCCTGTGTCCATTCCATACGCTGGAAACACCTTTTAAAAATCACACACTCAGTAGCTCCTAGTCCAGAATTTGGCATATACATAGAGGTCAGTGAATAGTGAGTTAAAATGCACAGAAAGTCAAAACAAAACAAACTCTAAGACCAGGGCTGCTGCCTCCCCACCTCGCTCTTTCCCACTCCCGCACTGATTCTTATTTCATATTCTCCCCCAACACCCCAACATCTTTGCCTAGGGTTTTCTCGGGATCTCCATGTAATCCGAACTTCTGAGGGAGTGCTGGCTCCTGCCCTTCGTTATTAGGCATTTTCATTTCTGTACATTCTTCCAGTACAAATAGTGTGCAAAATCTTAGCCATGGCAGATGCGGACAAGTGTGGGTTTCCTCTCGGGACAACAGGAGCCGAGCCCAAGACACTGGATTCTATCACAGGCTGGGTGGGCTCAGCAGGGCCCTTGCATGACTCCCCCAGAGAACATGCGGGGTTGTAACCAACCCACAGCTCCTGTTGCCCGGGCGACAGCAGCAGAGCAGGACTCATGGCCCACCTTCCTGGCACTGTGACCTGCCCTTTCTCCTGACCCCACATCTTCACCCCCTCTCATTAGTGACTCTGAGGCTGACTGAATTGCTGAAGACTCAGTGTGAACGACTCTGAGAGTTAGAAACTCCAGGGGGAGCGGGTCATAGGGAACCCCCACAGTACTGTGAGATTTACTTCCTAGAGCTCAACCTGGTTCCCACAGTATTTATCAGAGGAAAATCCCCTCAAGCTTCCAGCAGGAGAAGGAAAAAGGATGTATCTTGAAATAGACCAGAGCACCTGTTCTGAATAAGGCCTGCC